TGTAAAACACTGTTTGCAGTGAATCTTGTTCTTCAAGGATTTTACTATAAAACCAGAAATGTAGGCAACTACATCCTGAATGTATTCGCTCAGAAAATATATAGATAGATAATCATGGTCACGAAGCTCATTTGTAAATTCCAAATTTTCTTCAGAAGTGTCTGATTCGTAACATTTTAAATTTAACGCAATTTTGCTACTAGTGCTGCTACAATCCAAGATGCTGGTGCCATCTAAAGCAATTGCATTGGCAGTTTTATTTGACTTCACTTCATTATGAATTAATAATTTTTTATAACAATTTTGAAACAATCTGCATGTGGGATTGTTATTGAAGCCACATCTATTACGAACTGCACTAAAAAAAGTTCCAAATGGTCCTGAGAAAGCTTGTAAGTAAGAATAAAATCTAAATTTTTATTCATTACTACTGAATCCCAAAACAGACATTTCATGCTTTCAATGCAAATTAAGAACCCTAAGAAACCTGTCTTCCTACCACTAACAACAACGGGTTCATTATTTAATTCTAATTCTATTATATATTTACAAACCCGATCGAAATATTTACATATATCCTGCCAATTCTTTTCAGATGCAGGTTGCTTGAACTTATATTTGGCAAAAAAATTTTTAGAATTAAAAATATCAAAAATATTATTAAAAAGTAATATGAAATCTGAAGTTGCTTCAGAACCAACAAAGTCAGGTAATTTTAAATCATTTTCGACAAATATTAGAGCATCAGAAACACTTTTACTTAGAATTTGAACAGCAATTCTAACACGCATTTTTTCTCTAAACCATTGTAGGTGCCGAGCTTTCAGTTTTGTTCCTGCTAACAGCCCTTCATTTTCTTGAAGATGTATTAGTTTCCTTATGTAATCCCACTTTATTTCCCTATTTTTTCCATCTTTTAAAACATTACCAGCAGTTCCGAATGTATTTCTGACCAATTTGAGCATATGACATGGATCCAAAAAAAAATACACTTGCTCATGTGTTGTTGGATGAATGAAATAAGTAGTTAATGAAGATGGCGTATCTATGTTTGCTCCCAGACACTTCATCATAGTTATATTAGCTGATGCTCCATCAAACGTTACAGAAGTCACTTTGATATTAACTCCACCAAGAAATTTTAAACATTCTTTAACTAAATTGGCTTTTTCAGATCCGGTTAAACTTTCTATAAAAAAATAGCCAACTGGAATTTTCCACAAATCATTCATAGCTACTACCATAAAAACTAATGCTTGTGTAGCTTCTGGAATACAATCCGATCTTAATTTGGTTCCCAAATCGATGTATCCAATAATTTCTTTTCCGGTCCATTCAACCTTCTTCATGATGTGAATTTCATCAAGAACTAGGTTTACACAAACCTTTTTTGTTGAAGTTGAAATTTTCGCTTCTATAGCACGAAGTGATTCTTTTGTAAATCCTGGTTTGCCATCAATTACACTGTACCACTTTGTTAGAGTCCTTGGATGTGGCAGCGAATTATTAAATGTATCTCTAACAAAATTGTATGCCTTTACGGAGTAAAAATTTAATGTTAAGGCAAATATCCTTAAAACAGGTGAATATTTTTGATGAGAAGAACCTTTTAAAATCATTTTCATTACTTCAGCAGCACTTCCAGGTAGAGTAGCCTGAAAAACTCATTGTATTTAATAATAAACATACTTTCTATCTTGGTATGTACAAATAAATAAAGGTTATTCATTTAACATACATAATACTATCGGAAATTGGAATACTATAATATATTACAAGTGTGAAAAGTGATATTTTTGTGTGAAAAATCACTTTTACACAAGTTACATACAATAATTTTCCTACGATCGCGAAATAATTTCCTAAAAAATTTAAAACCAGTAAAACTGGCTATGGAGGTTCAATCAAGATGTTATTGGTTCTACGTTTGTTTTTTAATTGATTTATTAGTACCTCTATAATAGATTCTGCCGATGGCGAAATGTACTGATTTGTTTTCAAATGGGCCAATAGAGAATTTAGATTAGTAATTTTAGATCTTAATCTTCGATTCTGCCTTTGTAGAGTAGATATTTTTCTACGTTGTCTTTCTATTATCAATTTTGCAAATTTTCAGGCTTTTTTAGCAGTTGGGCTGGACATGTCTGATGAATGATTATCAGCTAATTAAAGGGGCTTAATTAATTTTCTCCTACAAAAAGAATTAAGTGTATAATAATTGGAATATCTAAAATATTTTATATTTAATTTAGTATTGACTTAAGCAATGATAATTTTCTTAAATAAGTTATTTACATAAAGAAGAATCCAAAAATTTATATTACCTTTTAGGAAGTGGTGATCCAGACACACTAGGACCTGTAGGAGTACTAGATGTGCACGGATCTTCATTGTTCTTTAAAAAACTAAAAAAAAAATTATATAGAATTGTATGCTTTTCTCAATATAAATGATTAAGTTACCTTACTGGTGATGCAGTCTTTTTTCTTCTTCATTTTTCGCCTCTTCAACTACCTCTCCCAAAATTCTGTAAAATGTGATAATTTCTGTATAATTTTAGAGCTTACATATTATAAAAATACCCATAATAAATACTGTATGTTGGAAAATAACTTAACATTATTCTCCGCCAGAATACATCAATTATTTTACTCCTCTTTCCCCTACGCCGCTAGACACCGAATTTAAATATATTTGTTCCTCTCGCCCCTTATTATATAATTAACTGCTAAACCGCATCTAACATTATGCAACCAACATCATTTATGTTTGATTGGTACTATTGGTAGTTCATGACGTAACTCCAACCAACCCTGGCAATTCCCTCTTATTTTTTACCTCCTCTCATAAACTGTGCAATCTCGGAGATTGTTTAGTTTAAAACAGAAGCAATCTTGATCAAGACGAGAAGGATGTACTTGTGGTGTGTGAGTTTTCTCGCACTTTGTGGGCGTTGGCCGGCCGGCACTTATTTCTCGGAAAAAGTGAATTAAAACTTATTATCTCGGGGTGTTATTAAGTAAAACAGTTAGAAAAGCAAGTAGCCTCATACTAGACGTATTCTAGCATTGTTTGTGCCTGTGTTTCGTATCAACAACTTGTTCTTTTGTTGGATACCGAATAATATTGTAATAAACTCTATTAAAAGTGGTGTCGAAGTTTGAATACCCAAAACAAGTAAAATCTATTCATACAGTCCATTAAAAAACACACAAATTTAAGGAGAAATCAACAAAATTACCCCATATTTGCGCACTGTACTTACTTCATAGGTATGGCATTATATTTTAAGATGTGTCTACCACTTAAATTTTCATAAATGTCTGCCATGCAAAAATGGTCAGAACATATTAAGGCTTCTTTCATTTTCATAATGTCTTCCTCCACCAAGCATAGATTTTGCAGCCAAATTGTACGTTGAATAATTTCTCTAGGAAACCTGATCAGAAAATATAGAACATTATTATTTAAATAAACAATGCTAGTGCTAAATACTTTTACACTGTTAAATAAATTAAGCCTTATTCCCCGTATATGCCTACGTCTATGCTAACATAATCTTACTTATGAAATGATCGAATAACATTCTTATTCTGCGTATTTCCGCACGCTATACATTTCCTCCCCATCGTAGAAGTCCTTATTAAAAAGTTCAAGGTTTAAATTATTCTTGAAAACTACAAAAAAACACAAAAATCACAATAAAATTTGATCTGTCACTTTGATAACATCAGCAAAATGTCTTAGGTTGCCAAACTTAAGAGATATATACCAGAATGTTTAATATTCACATATGATACACATGTAAAAATAGCTAAATAAAAGTCTTAAGTGATTGAAATTAATAAAAAACTCATATTGATGCTTTCAATTCTTTATTTCCTTTTTTTATTAGATTGTATTAAAGGTAATAGTAATTTTTTTAATAAAAATTTAATGTTTGATATTTGATGAAAGAGATCTGACAACATAGGAAGAGCGTACTGTCAAAAAAAAGTTGCGGACAAGTGTAATGTATACAAGGCGTATCTATTTATCCGATATCTTCGTATCATACTGTTTGCAAGCACTACAATTATTAATGAATATTTTAGTTATGGTAATATTTGTTTTGAATTTAAAATGTTGAAAACCATTTATAAACATTATTAGTTTTAGTAAGCTGACTTTTCTTCATATTTAGAAAATATTTTTAAAAATATATCAGGTTATGTAGAAAGCTTCGCATTGATTTTTGTGTAAAAAATATTATATTATTTTCACAATTTGTCAGACATGTCAAATAAAATAATAAATTTTTTAAATACCTTTTACTGGCAAATAAACCAAGTGAACTAAAATGTTTATTTTATAAAATCAGTCCTATCACAATACATGACATAACCCAAATATAAACTAGAATGAAGATATATAATGCGTTGCATTCTAAATTATACTCTTCATAATCTAACAAACCCCCCTTAACTCCCAAATTAAGTTGTATGGATACCTATGTTTTGTTAATTTAAAAACAAAAGAAATTAACATTAAATTTAATACCAATTCGTTTTAATGGCAAACATAAAATTATGCTATTTCATATTATTTTTCTTTTCTTCAGTGAGATAATAAAAATATATTTTATTTGTTAGCTACTAGTTAATTTTTTCATTCAATTCTTTGTTCCGTTGGTGTTTCAGATAAAGGTATGGTTCCTTCCATGTGGCAGCCGCAACGCAACTATCGCGTGCGGCCGCCGTTTAATTGAGTGGTTTCTTAGCATTGCATCGCGTCGATCAACATAATGTACTTATTACTAGAAGAAGAGGATGAAGAAATATTATTACAATTAGCCAATCTGAAAAATAGCAATGCCCCTGTAAATCCAATATAAATCCAAAGACGCGATGAGGGATGTTACACTAACGTGGCAATGAAATATTTATTATTATTAAACTAAAAGAAAAAACTAAATCAGAACAAAATAAACACAAGTTTCAAAAAAGTACTGAGTAATGGATTCAACAAATATAAAAATTAGAGTTATTTGATTGAAAGTTATCTAGATCTAATAAGTAATTGTCTAATGACGGCGAATTGTAAATCGTAGGTATATTGCCTGAACTCCAAACAGAGGGGCTTGCTGGGCCTGGTGGAAGTTCATTAGCGTTTCGTAGTAGACTCGATGCATTTCTCTCTTCTAATTCGAATACCAGGTGCATTGTTCTTAATTTTGCTTCATTGATTAACTCGGGTCTTAATGCTTTTACTGAGGCTACAATGCTCTGGAAAAACAAGTCCAGAGAATCTGGTTTGTTTAGACCAATTTTTTTAATGATTTAGTTTCTTTCAGCACTTATTTCTCTTATTGTAGCTATTATGTCTTCATTTATCTTCTCTTTTCTGTTGCGACTTGATTTGGAAAATTGTTTTATTGCACCCGCTTCCTTGTAGCGTCGGGTTAATGTCTGTCAGGACTGAGGCAGAACTACTTGGACGAGATGATTCTTGAGACACTTCCCCATACAATATTATTTTATTTCTCACTCATCATGTTCTCTTTGTGTTTGATCAGTTCCGAGAGATGTACTTCTACCAAGAACAAAAATGGAAATCGTATATTATATTTACAGTACTTTTAAAAAAAGAACTTACGGGCGTTTGTGCTCTGTTTGGTCCAGGAAGGACTACATATCTGCTAAAGCCCATTTCGCCTGTTTGGGCAATGCAGCAGAACCTGTGCTTTCCACTTTTTTCTTCTATTGTAGGTATCCTTAATATTTCTCCAACTTTTTTTGCAGTCGTCAACTAAAATTGTAAAATAATATTAATTAATTAATATTATAAATAATAAAATAATATTATAACTAAAATTTTGTTATCGATTTTTTTTTAATATTAATTATCATCAAATATTTTTTTTAGGTTTTTAGCAACGGGTGAGTCATTATGTTCCTTAGATTTCCCGTTTCGAGTCTCCCATAGTTATACTAGCAGAATCATAAAAAAGACATTATCATCATTAAGAAGACACCTTATTTCATTGTGCATCATTGGATGAAAAAAAGCAAAAAGCTAAGGAATTTGGTCAAAAATGGAAGTTTCCTATTTGCCTAGAAGCTGTCGACGGTAAGCACATACGAATTCGATGCCCTTCATACAGTGGATCTTTATTTCATAATTATAAGGACTTTTTTCCATTGTGTTGCTTGCTGTTGTCGACGCCAATTATAAATTTATTTTTATTGATGTTGGTTCATATGGAAAAGGAGATTTTCGGTAAATCAAAAATTGGCCAACAAGTCAGGGATGGTTCCATTTTTCCACCTCCAAACAAGCTACCAAATACTGAACATGTTCTTCCATACGTCTTGGTAGGCGATGAAACGTTTAGATTAAGTACTCATATGATGAAACCCTTCCCCCGACCAATAGCCAGCGCTGACGATCGCAAAGCAATTTTTAATTACCGGCTTTTTAGAACCCGACGTGTCTCGGAAAATTCCTTTGGATTGCTAAGCCAAATTTTTCGAGTTTTTTATGCAATGATGTTGTACATCAACAGTTGACGATTTAATTATAGTGGCATGTTGTTTACATAACCTCCTTCGAGATGCATTCCTTGAAGCTTCCAATAAACCCTTTTATGAAATTAATCAGCAGCTGCCACCTCCTACAAATTTCATTCCATTTGCTAGGGGTGGCGGTTTTGCAGATGAAGATGGATTTTATATAAGAGACCTGTTTAAGGAATATTTCAACAGCGGTCAGGGTACCATGACAAATTGGATCTTTTAGAAGAACAGAAACTAATGTTGTTTTACCTATTAATGCAATACATACATTTTTGAATTACATTATTTACCTTATTATTTATCTAATATCTTACCTGATCTACTTAATGCCTCAGCTATTTATTTCTTTGACAACCTGATCTTTATACAAACTGTGGGCCAAATAGAATAATGCGGAATGTTTTGCCACAAATTCAACTAATAGTTTATCTTAACCGTAAATAGCACTTTCGACATGTTTGGGTACTTTTCTAATTTAAGAAATGCCAATTGAATATTTACTAAATAAAAAATCAAACCAAAAATTTCACACAAAACAACAACAAACGCTCTCGCGGCTGCGGCTATACTGCTTCTCGATAGGGATGCGAACGATGTATCGATGTATCGAAAAAACATCGATTTTTCGGTTTCGATCATCTATGTTAACATCGACGTTTTTTATCCGATGTTATTTGTTAACATCGATTTTTCAATTAACATCGATGATTTTCTTTTCAATGTTTCTTGGTTTTTCACGTTTCAATTGATGAATTGAATTTCTTTTTATTACGCGTTATTCTTTTTTTTGCCTCTTCAATGAACGTTTTTGGAAAACATCGATGTTTACAGACAAATCGATATATGGAAAAACAAACATCGATATTTAGAAAAATCGATATTTTCTTTTGCGTTTTTTACAACATCGATAGTTTGTATTCGATGTATCATTCGATGTCAACATCAATGTTTTAAAAAATTTGCGCATCCCTACTTCTCGAGCAGTACAGTCGCATCGATCGTAGTCATTCGCGGCTGACGCGCACGACGCACTGACGCAGGGCGACAGCCGCATGCGACGGCCGCATGGAAGGAACCATACCGTAAAATACCAGGCCATTTTAAAGAATTATTTGCTTGGAGAATTTTTCACTCAGTTTAGACAAGAATCATTTTTGTCAGTATATGGGAAACTATAAACTAATATATCTAATTTGAATAATATTTTATTAAATTCAAAAACATAATCTACAAAAAACAACAAATGAATGACCTTGTCATAAAATATAAAAACACATTTTGTTTCTTTGTATTTTGGCGTTTTTTCGAAAATAATAACCACCTGCCAAATATTTCAACAATTTATAAAGAGGGTGTGAAATTATTTTCAAACAAGCAGAAAAATTAATTATAACGCAATAAAATTAATAAAATAATTTCCATTTGGTACATCCAAAATGACCAAAAATGACAATTTTGATTTGAAATATTTTAGCAGTAAAATCAACTACGCAAAAATAAAAAGTTCATCATTGGATTCAAGTTTTTAGATTCGGTTAATTACGCAAGCCAAATGTCAGATACATATACAGGGTGATTGGTAACATAAAAACATTCTGTATTTTGGTTATAAAGGGAGAAAGACCTTTTAAGTAAGTATTGGTTGGTTATTTGAAAGCACTTCAGTGGTCTCAATCTACAGTTAACTTGTGTCCCTATTCCAACGAAACTCTTATTTAACAGACCAATATGGTATGGAAAAATTAGGTATATTACTTAATAAATACTTACAATTTAAATGAGGGTTTCTATTTTATCGAACTTATAAAAAACATATTTTCCCAGCGATTGACAAGTTTAATTACAGTCAGCTTAAATCATATAAATACATCATATCTCATACGTTTAATTATCTAAAAAAGTAAAATTCAAACCTACTAGACGAAGTCCCGTCATTCGTAAACCAAATTCTATTTACATTTGAGTTATTATTTCCCATTTCGTTTTGACTAAGACCTCAAAATCCCGTTTCAGACTTGTTATTAAATCCCGACTCTAGTCTGCTTACTGATTATATTCCTGCAAAAATATTAGCCAGTTGTACACTGCGAAATGTCAGTGAGCCGGAACATTCAGCCACTGTCTATTTGCATATTTATGACTGGAGGAGGCCGACGAGGATTCACTTATAAAGAGTTTATTAAACTCTAGATTATAAGGATTTTTTTTCAGATTGGAAGTGTCTGGAGATACGGTAACGTATGTTTAACCAGAAAATATTATTAATTGTCTTTTGTGTTCTACTTCATTACTTATTACTTACTTCTGATAATTTATTTACTATTTTTGAAAAACAGTTGGTTTTATCGGTGGCGACTGGTGCATAAGTGCTGTAGAACTGCAGAACTGCCAAAAAAATATCATCTACATTTCACAGAAATTATTTAAGACATTCTAAAATATACGCAAAACAATTTTTTTATTTTAATTACCCGTGTTTCAAAATTGTTTTTCTTTAAGCGAAAAATATTCAAAATTGCATTGATAATGAGCTCCCTGTATAGAAAAATATAACTAGATATTTTCAGATTGTAAATTTTTATTTTGTTATACTATAGTTAAATAATAACCATATCAGGACTATAAATTACATTTAAAACTCAGTAGACAGGTGTGTAAGTTTAAAAGTTTAAGTTTGAGGCTCAATAATATACTAATCATGCCATACTGTCTTGTAATGATATATGTACGTCACTTATTTTAGTTGCGTAAATGGCTATTTACAGTAACCGATCAGGGAGTGTCGCTGAAAATATCAAAAACAACAGAAAAACAAAAACTAATGAATAGTATTGCTAAAGAAATAAGAAAATAATTTTTTAACCCATCATTTAAAATGCATTTCTTTTGAAAAACCCTGTACATACATTAAAAAAATTATTCAATTCTTTCGCATATTTTCCAATAAAATTTCTACCTCAGGCCGACCCTGACTTGCTAACAGCTCATCTACAACGATTAAATCATCCAAAAAAATGTCTCTGCTCCAGTCGGCATTTCTGCTGTTTTTTTCCAATCGCAAAACATTCAGTTACTTTTCCTTTTCATGGAAAACAAAACGGAAAGATAATGAATATTATCAAGAGGTGTAAACTACATATACAGCGTGTTTTATAATAATTGAATAATAATATTTAATAATAATCATTTTTAAAATCCCCTTTCATTTCTAGCAAATTTGATCACATGATCTTTTTCTGACCGATTGCAAGGTTTTCGCTTAAAAAACGAAAACCGTTTCACTATGCAGAGACATATTTAATTTTTGTAGGCAAAAACCGTGCATGGGACTAAAAAAAATTCAAGAGGTCAAATCTGCTCATAAATAAATAAGGATTTCAAAAGTTAATGGCGTGCCACTGACTGTCTGTAATAATATTTAGGACTTTGTTAATTGGGTTGCTACTGGTTAAAATCGAGAATTCGTTTTTTTTTTTCATTAGTGAAAGATGTCTTTCAATATCTAGACTTCAGTCACCAATCTGTCACCACTGGATGTTAATGACATTCTGAGAAGACTGTTCTTGTTAAAAAAATTAACTTTTTCACTTTTATTGAAATAACACAATATTCTTTAATAAGAACAAGATAACTAACAAACTATTCTTGTTTAAAAAACTATATACAGTGTGTCGCATTTAAGATGAAAACACCCAGATATTTTGGCTATCTGAAATTTTGCATAGTCACACAGGGTGATGCTTCACATTTTTTAAGATATTCAACCGAAATTTAAATTTTAAACGCGACCTACTGCGAATCCACAAACAGGGTCAATTTTCGATATGTTTCTTCGCGTTAGAGATATCAGAAAAAGTTATTTGAAAAAGTTGTTCCGAATATTATTCTAACCCCACATGCCAAATTTCATGACAAAATTCGCATTTTTTTTTTATTATTTTGGTCCAAACTTCAAATCTGTATTTATTTAGATACACAAAATATAGGGGTGGCTTCATCTTAAATGCAACACACTGTATACCCACTATTATTAATTTAAACAAAATTATAAATCGTCTATTATGAAAGTAATAACGATCTTTGTGGAAAAAAATAGTACATAGAAATTAGATAAGTTGTTGAAAATGTCCTTCAACTTGAAGGATGCATGCTTTACCTCTTTTGCTCATATTGTGAGGTAAACCAGAGTTTTAAGATGGCCCCACAAGAAAAAGTCCAAACTATTTAAATCTG